CTCTTCTTTCCTTTTGTAAGAATGTAGACATCACTTACAATGTTTCAAGTAATCAACCCACTCTACAAAAAGTAACTCTTGCATTCGTAACATGCCTATGTTACTACAAACACACTTGGATTTCTCTGACAGCTCTCAGAATACATGCGTCTTGATTCCTGATTCTTAACAAACTGAAATCTGACTTGCAAATGGTACCTTCATAAATAAGTTGTGACTAAAGAAAAGAATAATAGCCCCATGCCTCGAAAATAATTTCCACTACGATCTATGACTGGAGAGATACTTAGCGTGTTTTCTAAAACATTTATCCTTTTTTAAATACATGAACACTTCAATTTCCTACAGCTGGGACAAGACTCCAGGCTAATGGCAGATTTCATATTAACGGATTTTTACAGTGCCTTCCATCATTATTTAAACATTTACCAAGGTCAAGTCGGTAAATGTGGATGGTTATTTGACGGCAGATGATGCAGCAACCCTTTTTCATACCCGGATCTGATAATATCTGCATTAGCATTCGCAACTCCTGTTTAGAACACATTTCTGATAAAATTCCTATTCTTCAGTCTTGTCACAAGCAAGAAGGATGACAGAATTAAAATAGAATGGTATTTTAGAGCACATAAGTTAACAATTTATCACAATTCCTCCTTACACTGGTAAGGACTCCACCCCACCCTACACAGTAGGAAGACGCCACTCCACTTCACCCCTATTGATTGTTACCAGAACTTAAAAAATTTGGTTGTATACTCGAGCTTTTGAGTAAGCTCGTTCTTTGTCGAAGACGAATGATGACAACAAACGGCAATGCCTTGTTGGAGATGTTCGGAATATTTATTTTGTTTTTATCAAGAGTACACTACAGAGTAATTTCGTGTGGAGGTGAGTAAAATTTCTACTCATTTGGTTGTGTCCTTGTTAATGTCAGTTTTGGCACACGTTTGGGAATACAAGGCGAAAACTGTTGATGAGTGCCAAATAATTCTATCTTTTGGTTATGTGGGTTGCGTTAAGCATTAAAGGTGCATGGTCGAACGGTTGTCTTATAAAACAAATGAGCCCGATTAACTTCAGGAAATTAACGAATCAAGATCTCTGAGAAGAGTAAAAATAATCCGCAGCAATCGTGCCGAAACATGTAATGGCAGGAGGAAGTATTAACATCACATGCTAAAGCTCAAACCTACAGGATTAATGACTGCCCTATGAAGCTCTATTCGACGAATGTATTGGCCATTTTAAATTATTCATTTGTTGAGCAGTCATAGAAGTTTGAGTGAATTTTAGCAATTTTTTCATTACGTATACAACAGTCTTGCGACTGAGGTTTTGTATGGAAATTTGCATGCTGTTTGGATCACCGCATGTCTTGCATTCCACGGATAAAAACACGGCAAACCAACGTAAGAAAATTATGGAGTAAATTGATACCTAGGTAGCAGCCAAAGTTCGTTGACCCAACGCAAATGTATTTAACAGATTCCTTTATTTATTATATTTATTTATGTGAGTACATTTGAGGGTTCGACGACTGCTTAGGATGTGTACAGACACCAGTAGGTCATTGTCGAGCGTAGATCAAATAAGAGTCGTCACGTACGTAACGTCACGCACGTCACGTTTCATTAAAAAAAAATCTCACAGAGCCATTAAAGACTATCTTGCTTGTTGTGAAAATCTATCGAATAACCTTCGTTGTTCTGAGTTATTTCAAGTACAAACTTTTCTTTTTCTTTTCTTCGTTATATCACTGTTTGAAAAAACCTCCCAGTGACGCGAGGAGGTAAATTACATTTGCAGCCTGTTTTTTTGAGAGGTCACGCAACACTTCCTGCCTATCCTCCCAACTTGTGGCCGCATCTTCATAGCAACCGTTGCTGACCAGAGTATTTTTCATTTATTTTCGATTCTAGTAATAAACGAGAGGAACCGAATTAAAAAAAACAAACAAATGAGAGTTTGTAAGTGCGTTTAAATTTTGCGAGATATAAAAAGATGTAATGCCAATACAACAATCTCCTCCGAGCAAAGATTTTTCTACTTAGACAATTGCACACACGGTCCTCTTCATGTTAGCTTTTGGATTTATATATATTTTTGGACCTCACTATTAAAAAAATATTTAGATTATCCTACATTTTACAATTAATTTACCATCATTCTTGACACTATTCGTACTTTGTTAGTTAGCACTTATTTATATTCGTAGATATTTTTTAACATTATTCTTGTAAATATTTATTATTATCATATTCGTTGTGAAGCGCTATCGATCTTTTTGTTGTATATAGCGCTGTATAAGCGATAAATTTATTTATTATTTATTTAAGATTAGGTTACTTAGTAACTTCCTTGAAATTTAAGGGACATGACACAAATCAGGACAATGTTGGCTGGAAGAATTTAGTGAAACAAAATATTTGATGGACATACTCTTCATAAACGTTCTAGAAATCTTTTCATATTTTCCAGTTGTCTTCTATAAAACAATCAGGCAAATTTTTCTTAGTCCGAGAATGACAATCTCGCAAACGGAGTCTTCGAGCTGCTCGCAAAAGTCTTCACACAACTGTAAATTCAATCAGGTTTCTCGTTTGCGTCGCCGTCATGACTGCGTTAAGTCACTAATTTTCAAGGAATAGGAATGGAAATCAATTTCTTTGGCTGTTGATACTCCTCCCCTTCTCCTCCCCACCCCTACTGCTCTCAATCGGACTGTTTACATTGCAGGCATTAACTTAGATCCTTCTAATAACCTCTCCCTCTCTCGCTCTCGCCCCACTCCCACTCCCAAATATCACCCCTGAACGCAAAGATTGATGGTCTAGCGTAATTACTCCAGGATGTTTTTGTTTGGTTGTTTTTAATTTGTTTGTTTGCTTGACATTTGGACTACATGACATGTTCGAGTCACGGTAAAATGTGAAACAAAATAAACACCTCGCGGAACTCCCAAAGCTCGCACTAACCTCATGAATAAAAGGAAATTTGTATAGCTTTAGTCAAATGAACTTGATTAGGTTAGTTGCAGTTCAACCAATCTTGATAAATGTTGTTCTCCCTTCTAGTGTTAACTGTCCCTTGCAAGCCCCCATGCCTCATTGTATCAACAACGACAGAAATAGTGGCCTTGGATTTTGACAACAACACAAGTTCCCAGATAATATCGGGGCTATCAAGAGTCATAGCCCTTGATGTTCATTACAGCTTGGGGTACATTTTTTGGACTGACGTTTCAGACTTAAATATCAAGAGATCTTGTATCGACGGAACAAATGTTACTGTAATTCATTCCACAACTGGAACGTGTGACGGGCTTGCTGTGGAATGGATGAGATACCAGTTGTACTGGACTGACACGACAGATGATGTCATTCGAGTATCAGACCTTGAGGGCAAAAATACACGTATCTTAATTTCTTTAGGTCTTGATGAGCCTCGAGGGATTGCACTTGACCCTGAGCGTGGGTGAGCTGATGTTAATGAGGATATTAAAATTAATGATGTCTATTGTTTCATAATGTTTGATAGAGATCCATGGAGTCCGCTAGTCAATTAGTCATGTGGACAGACAGAGAGACAGTCACTCGGTCAGTCAGCCAGCCAGCTAGACAAGCTGTCACTCAGACAATAAGTGGGTGGGTCATCTAGATAGTTCGTCAGTCAGTCTGGCAGTCAACAGTCAGGCAGCCAGTCAGGCGAGCATCCAAACAGTCATTCTGTCAGTCAGACAGTCAGTTTATCAGTTAGTAAGTCAGCCAGTCAGTCAGTGAGTCTATCAGTTAGTTAGTCAGTCAGTCAGGCAGGCATCCTGCCAGCCAATCAGCCAGTCAATCATCTGTCCGTCAGACAGCCAATCAGTTAGTCAGTCAGACAGTCAGTCAATCAACCAGTTAGTCAGTCAATCTGTCAGTTAGACAGTCATTCAGTCAGTTAGATAGTAAATTAGTCAGTCAGTGAGTCAGTCAGACAGTAAATCAGTAAGTCAATCAACCACAACCCGAGTTAGTTCACTTGCAGTTCTAATTGATATGGGGAAACTGTATACCACCATGACCAAACAGTTACCGATATATCTACAGATCCATGTTCTGGACTGACTGGGGAGCAGCGCCAAAAATAGAAACAGCAACATTAAATGGAACCGAGCGCACTACCCTGGTAAACACAAACCTTCAATGGCCAAACGGCATTACTCTTGATAGGAAAAACAGGCTCATATTCTGGGTTGATGCCGGGAAAAACAGGCTGGAGTCAATTAACTATGATGGCAACAACAGAACGTTGCTTTTCGCGAGAAACGATGTTCACTTTTTCGGAGTAACTTTCGATTCTCCATATATATTCATATCTGAATGGAATCACAAGAGTGTTTTCAAAATGAATATTTCCAATGGAACGATAGCTGGGACATATCATTTTGGAGGTGTAAACAAGATCATGGGGATTGTACCGTACGACAGCTCTTGGCAGCGGCAAAGTGAGTCGTCAACACCGTTTATTGTATCTCTTAGTTAGTGCGTGTACTTTAATTACTCAATGTAGCGGACATTATTTATTTGCACGGCCCGCTAAATCCAAAGGTTTCCTTGATTTGATTTCTTTCCTTTCCATTTGAACCCAGAAATATTATAAATTTCTTACTAGCCTCGTTTTCTCGGTCCGCACTGTAAATTGCGGATGCTTTTTTTTCCTTTTGAACTTATGGCTAAGTAATACCTAAACTGGCTTTTCTGCTGTTAAGCGACCTTTAATATAACCTTTTCACGCCAAATAGCGCTCGAAGGTTAGTTGTGATTAAATACATGGTCTGAAAAAAGGTAGAAAGAGTTAAGGATCAATGTGATTCGAGCCCTTGCCACCAAAATACTTGTTCGGTGCATTTTTTTCCGTTTTAAGTTTTCTTCGAGTTTGTTGAAGCACTAGTAATGTTTTAGTAAGTAACCCAGGATGAAACAGCTCATTACCGACATTTGAAAGTGAAAGTTACCTCCAAATGTTTACAATTAAAATGCTCTAACAACTAATTCAGTTTTTTGCGTTTATTGCAGCAATCACGTGTTCAAGATTGCCTTCACCGACAAATGGAACAAGACTTGGATGTTCAGGGAACGCAACTGAGTTTTATGATACAGTCTGTCGGTTTGGGTGCAATAATGGCTATGTAGGATCTGGTTCTCAAATAAGAAGATGTCAAAAGAATAAAACTTGGAGTGGTGATGAGTTTGTCTGTCAAAGTACGTCCCATCTGTTAGTGATGCTTGAAATGTTACACTTTGCTTTTTTTCTCTAGAGCAATCACGAAGGAAGACATTATAGCCCCTTAAGATGGAAATGATGTAGGATACCGAAGATATTGTTGTGCTATTGGTATTCATATAAAAAGTGTCCTCAGTCAATTAGTCAGACAGTCAGTCAGTCAGTCAGTCATTGGTCAATGAAGCGGACACTATTTTACTGTACGGCCCGCTAAATTCAAAAGTTTGTTTGATTTGATTTCTTTCCCTTCTGTTTGAACCCAGAGATACAATAAATATCTTACGAACCTCGTTTTCTCGGTCTGCACTGTAAGTTACGGAGCCTCTTTTGTCTTTCCTTTTGAACTTATGGCTAAGTACTACCTAAACTGGCTTTTCTTCGGTTAAGCGACCTTTCAGATAAAGTTGTTACTGAAAATAATCCCCGTAGGCGAGCTGCGATTAAAGACATGGTCTGGCAAAAACTCGAAAAAGTTAAGGATCGAAGTGATTCGAGTCCTTGACTCAAAGATACGATTAGGCGCATTTTTTCAGTTTTTACATTACGTTCGAGTTTGTTGAAGTACTAGTATTGTCTTAGTCAGTAACACAGGAATGAACAGCTCATTACCGACATTTGAAAGTGAAAATTACCTCCAAACGTCAACGATTAAAATACTCTAGCAGCTATTTAAGTTTTTTGCGTTTATTGCAGAAATAACGTGCCCAGGATTGCCTTCACCAATAAATGGAACAAGACTTGGATGTTCAGGGAACGCAACTGAGTTTTATGATACAGTTTGTCGGTTTGGGTGCAACAATGGCTATGTAGGATCTGGTTCTCAAATAAGAAGATGTCAAGAAAATAGAACTTGGAGTGGTGAAGAGTTTGTCTGTCAAAGTACGTCCCATATCTTAGTGATGCTTGAAATGTAACACTTTGCTTTTTTTCTCAAGAGCAATCACGAAGGAAGACATTTTAGTCAGTAAAGATGGAAATGATGTAAGATACTAAAGATATGGTGTGCTATTGGCATTCTCATAAAAAGTGTTATCAGTCAGTTAGTCAGACAGTCAGTCAGTCAGTCAGTCAGTCATTGGTCGATGAAGCGGACACTATTTTACTGTACGGCACGCTAAATTCAAAAGTTTGTCTTTCCTTTTGAACTTATGGCTGAGTAATACCTAAACTAGCTTTTCTTCGGTTAAGCGACCTTTAAGATAAAGTTGTTACTGAAAATAATCCTCGTAGGTGAGCTGCGATTAAAGACATGGCCTGGCAAAAGTAGAAAGAGTTAAGGATCGAAGTGATTCGAGTCCTTGCCTCAAAGCTACTTTTGGGCGCATTTTTTCAGTTTTACAGTTTATCGAGTTTGTTGAAGTACTAGTATTGTGTTAGTCAGTAACACAGGAATGAACAGCTCTTTACCGACATTTGAAAGTGAAAATTACCTCCAGACGTCAACGATTAAAATAATCTAGCAGCTATTTAGGTTTTTTGTGTTTATTGCAGAAATAACGTGCCCAGGATTGCCTTTACCGACAAATGGAACAAGACTTGGATGTTCAGGGAATGCAACTGAGTTTTTTGATACAGTTTGTCGGTTTGCGTGCAACAATGGCTATGTAGGATCTGGCTCTCAGATAAGAAGATGTCAAGACAATAAAACTTGGAGTGGTGAAGAGTTTGTCTGTCAAAGTACGTCCCATCTCTTAGTGATGCTTGAAATGTAACGCTTTACCTTTTTTTCTCTAGAACAAACATGAAAGGAGACATTATAGTCAGTTAAGATGGAAATGATGTGGGATACCGAAGATATTGTTGTGCTATTGGTATTCTTATAAATTGGTCAATGAAGCGGACACTATTTTACTGTACGGCCACTAAATTCAAAAGTTTGTTTGATTTGATTTCTTTCCCTTCTGTTTGAACCCAGAGATACAATAAATATCTAACTAACCTCGTTTTCTCAGTCTGCACTGTAAGTTAGGGAGTCTTATTTGTCTTTCCTTTTGAACTTATGGCTGAGTAATACCTAAACTGGCCTTTCTTCGGTTAAGCGACCTTTAAGATAAAGTTGTTACTGAAGATAATCCACGTAGGCGAGCTGCGATTAAAGACATGGTCTGGCAAAAGCTACAAAAAGTTAAGGATCGAAGTGATTCGAGTCCTTGCCTCAAAGATACTGTTGGGCGCTTTTTTTCAGTTTTACATTTCCCTCGAGTTTGTTGAAGTACTAGTATTGTCTTAGTTAGAAACACAGGAATGAACAGCTCTTTACCGACAATTGAAAGTGAAAATTACCTCCAAACGTCAACGATTATAATACTCTAGAAGCTATTTAAGTTTTTTGCGTTTATTGCAGAAATAACGTGCCCAGGATTGCCTTCACCGATAAATGGAACAAGACTTGGATGTTCAGGGAACGCAACTGAGTTTTATGATACGGTTTGTCGGTTTGGGTGCAACAATGGCTATGTAGGATTTGGTTCTCAAATACGAAGATGTCAAGAAAATAGAACTTGGAGTGGTGAAGAGTTTGTCTGTCAAAGTACGTCCCATATCTTAGGGATGCTTAAAATGTAACACTTTTCTTTTTTTTTCCTCTATAAAAATCACGAAGGAAGACATTATAGTCCCTTAAGATGGAAATGATGTAGGATACCGATGATATTGTTGTGCGATTGGCTTTTCATAAAAAGTGTTATCAGTCAGCACGTCAGACAGTCAGTCAGTCAGTCATTGGTCAATGAAGCGGACATTATTTCACGGCACGGCCCGCTAAATTCAAAAGTTTGTTTGATTTAAATTCTTTCCCTTCTATTTGAATCCAGAGATACAATAAATATCTTACAAATCTCGTTTTCTCGGTCTGCACTGTAAGTTACGGAGCCTCTTTTGTCTTTCCTTTTGAACTTATGGCTGAGTAATACCTAAACTGGCTTTTCCTCGGTTAAGCGACCTTTGAGATAAAGTTGTTACTGAAAATAATCCTCGTAGGCGAGCTGCGATTAAAGACATGGTCTATCAGCTATTTAAGTTTTTTGCGTTTATTGCAGAAATAACGTGCCCAGGATTGCCCTCACCGACAAATGGAACAAAACTTGGATGTTCAGGGAATGCAACTGAGTTTTATGATACAGTTTGTCAGTTTGGGTGCAATAATGGCTATGTAGGGTCTGGTTCTCAAATAAGAAGATGTCAAGAGAATAAAACTTGGAGTGGTGAAGAGTTTGTCTGTCAAAGTACGTCCCATATCTTAGTGATGTTTGAAAATGTAAGACTTTACTTTTTTTCCTTAGAACAGACACGAAGAAGGACACAATACTCTCAAGGAATGGAAATGATGTAGGATCCAAAGATATTCTTGTGCTATTGGCATTCTTACTAAAAATGTATTATATTTCCATAGGTAAAAGGGCACTCCTTACACTGTTTGCCCATAATTCTCAAAAGCAAAAAATTAATTAAATATCTGTAAAGTATCTCCCCTATTACAGGATGAAAATTAATTTTAACCTTTTTCAGTTGTGATGTGCCCTACTCCAATGCCACCAGCCAATAGTGTTAGACATGGATGCACTGGGAATGCAACAGAATACCCTTATAACACAGAATGTCAGTTCTCCTGCATTGAGGGCTATAAACTCATTGGCTCTAGCTTGAGAAAATGCCAAGACAACGGGCTCTGGAGCGGAGGAGGGGAATTTTATTGCGAGAGTAAGTAAAAAAAAAATATTGTAGAAACGATTTTGTTTTCAGACGCATGGCTTTTGTTAAGCAATGTATGAACAATGCAAATGCGTCGTAGTATGTGAGTCTCTTCAACCTCCTCCCAATATGAGAACGAACGGTTCTTGCAACCGGTTGCCAGGCAACGGTTGTCACTTACCTGCGAACGAGGCTTCAACTTGATTGGCCCAGAAATCCTGTGGTGTATAAAGATGGATCATGGACCGGCACGCAACCTCGATGTGATGGTAAGCTTACACAACATTGAACTTATCCTTCGCAAATCAGAACTAAAAAATCCAGCCAAAAAAAAGGCTCGAATCTTAATTTTATATCCTTTCGAATCCTCCACAGGAATCTTTTTTGGACAAATTTACCAGGGCGTCTGAAAACAACCACATCTCCGCCTCTGAGACTAATAAAAAAGGCGTCATAATGAATTTTTTTGTTTTGTTTAGTTGTTACCTGCCCAATGTTATTATTACCAACCCATGGTGTATTCTTGGGATGTAACACTAATACGACGGAGATGTTATATGGCACAGAATGCAGCTTCTCTTGTAAAGAAGGATCTGTAGCAACTGGTTCAACAGGAAGGAGATGTACTCAAAATGGAACCTGGACTGGAACAGACTTTGAGTGTACAGGTATAGGATCTGGCAACACTTGGAATCATGAAAATTCAAATAATCATAGTTGTCATTCGAGAATCCTACCCACTTATTCGATTGGCGATCTTGATAATTAAACAATTCAAGGTCATCTAAAATTGTCTATGGTTCGCACAACGTTGCAGCATTTTTTGTTATGTTTATGCGGTCCATCTTACAAATCGATAAATCATCGATCATCGATGTACCATCGTTAAACGCATTATAATGACTTGATCATCGTGGATCGCCAGTCGATTCAGGTTGGTTCACAATACTTATGCTCGCAATCATTTTAGATCCCCATAATCGATCTAAATTGTTGCAGCAGACTTTATTATGGCTTTGCAGCTTATTTATGTATCCCTACATGGATGGGTCAATCGATATACGATCGTAACATGTAGAAAGTTGACGATATTAGATCACGAGTCGATGGAGGGTCGTCGATAGTCTTATGATTGGGACTCGCAATCATTATTGATCGCTACAGTCGATGTAACATCGTTACGTATTCCTTTTTTATGGCTACGCGGTCCATTTCGTATAAATCAATCGACGCACGATCGTAAGACGCATTCATTTGACGATCATAGATCACGAGTCGATACAAGATCGTCAGTGGTCTTAGTCTGACATTTTCTCAGCATTCTTTGTTGTGGCTGCTTGGTCCATCAAATTCATCTGTACTTGAATCGATCGATGCACGATTATAAATCACAATAACTTGACGATCTTGGATCACAAGTCGATACAAGTCGTCGATAGTCATTCGCGATGATTTTAGATCGCCGTACTCGGTCTAACATCGTTGTGTCATTGTTCTGTATTGCTTATGTCGGTTGATCCAATGTATCTGTGCATGAATCAGTCGACTCACGGTTCAACAATAAGGAGATGTATGGAAAATGGAGTTTGGAATGAAACAGACTTTGAATGCACTGGTGTGAATTTCTAGACACTTTGCATCATAACCATTATGAACAAGTGGTGGAGCGTCGTAGTGCGGAATCTGAAGTTCACTGCGGGTACGATTCTTTACGCGCGTGACAAGGCAAAAACCATCTTAATTAGAATTCATGTGGTTTAATTGCAAATTTTGCCTTCTTCTGAATTTGATGAAAATCTTGGGTCACTGATGAGTTTAAGATCTTCAGTAATCAGTTATTTCTTGGTTCACCATGACTGAGGATGACAACGGTCAGGCGGTCAGAAATCATTGACGTGCTAGTATCGATGGCCATGCGGTCTCTCTTGCATCTATAGATCGATGAATGAAACGCCTCACCTTCTTAGTATGCAAATTTATAGGCGGTCTTGGATCACGGATCGATACAAGATCATCTATCGACTTTTTTCTTCTGTGCCAAGTTTGTAGATCGCGATGATTGATCTAATAACAGCGCAGTATTTTTTGTATGGAACGCAATCATTCTTAGGCATCTCAAAGAGAGAGATGCATGGATCTTTCGTAATGCGATCATCATTAAAGACAAATTGATTTTGATCGTCTATGTTGGTGATATCGTTACTCTTCAAGTATCTTTGACTCAGTGACGATGCATTCATCATTTCTCCCTTTTTTTTTCTCTTCGGCTTTTTTCTCTTCCGAGTTAATATTTAAAGTCTCTCTCAATCGAGCCTATCCTTGTGGTTCCTATATCCCTAAATCCCTAAATCATATCTTCCCTCGATTTTTTTATAAGAGGTAAGCCTCTCAACTTCCCTTTAATCCTTTCACTGCCAAGATCTAATTAGCAATTCTCCTTACTATCTGCCATACAATTCTTATAATGTTAGTTCAGAGTATTTGGTATTGGATCAACTAATAATCCCATGATTGATATTCTTCTCTATTCTCATCACCTGCCTGCTTGATATTGTATTGATATTGTAAGGAGAAATTCTGTCTTGGTCACTTGTGGAAGAGAAAAAAAAAAAGGGAGAAATGATGAATGTATCGTCACTGAGTCAAAGATACTTGAAGAGTAACGATACCACCAACATGGACGATCAAAATCAATTTGTCTTTAATGATGATCGCATTACGAAAGATCCATGCTGAGAATGTTGCCATGAATGGAAGGTCAATATTTATATTTATGTTATCGCTGATTTTCTTTTGAGATTTCTTTTTCTGAGTTCAATTCAGTCAGTAAGATCTTCTGCGGGAAACTTTGGGAAAAATAAGCCTCTTGTAAGTCTTCTGTAAACAACAACAATGGTCAGATGATGGCTGGGAGGAACTCAATATCATGCTCTCACAAGATACAGGATGCCTCTGGAGTATCAGCAGGTAATTGATTTATTTCTCCAATAGAATATTTTTTGAACAAAAGACCAAAATCAAAATCGGTCATAAGTAAAAATTGTTGTTTCAAATCATCTTCCTTGTAACTTTCTTACCGGAAACTCTCTTGGGAAGTGCTCCCAGATCCTGCCGTGTAACTGTTTACCACCGCTTGGCCGTGTGAGGTCTGGGTACAAGACTAGGCCTCACGCTCACTATAGTTAGCCCCTCCATTATTACCCCCCACCTCACCCTTTTGATTCTTGCATGGCGCAACATCCGGGAATATATGAATGCAGCCCACAGTCGGTCGTAAATATGAAAATTACTTAGCTTTGGCCTCGTTATACCCAAGGGAACACAACTATGGACGGAGGTGGCAAGGTTTTCACACTTCTCAGCACAGTCTTCCTATTAAGTCTCGCCCTTTCGAACAAAGTGTCTGCCTCATCAGGTAAGTGCTGATTTTCTCTTTCAAGTTTTCTTTCCCGTTAAGAGACTTAGGGTGCGATCCGATAATTTTGTAGCTAGCAGTATTTGGTATTTTATCAGCGTTAAAAGATTTCAATTGTTCTTCGAAAATTTGTCTCTTGACTTCTACTCTTTTCAATCGGTTGAATAAGAATTTGCTTGAAGAGCATAACTTTCAACTGAACTCCTTGTTCTATAGTAATCTTTAAGAGCGTAACACAGATTGCTTTGCATAAAAAAGACAGATATGAAAATCATTGGGCGAATTTCCGAGCTTGGGCAAATCAAAAGCTCGCGGAATTTTCGAAGCGTCGAGAACATTGCAATTTCGAGTCAACGTTCGAATGTTTAGTAAAACTCAGTGGAAAACAACGTAATTTTTAAAGTCGCTTGTCTTTCCATAACAAACATAAAATACTCAGAAGAAGTTTGAAAAATATTTCAATAGAAATTCTGAAAAATGTATCATTGTCAGGTAGTTAATCGCACATAACCTCAGCAAATATAGAGATGCAAACAGTTTTTTATAGCAGATTACATTTTTATCATGTGTAGGCTTAACTTAGCAAATTTGTTCATATTTTAATTCAAATACATGTGTAATCAGATATATGTAGAAATGGTAAAACTCTGAATTCTTTAAAACTGTGAAATTTAAATAACCACCGCATTTCCGCTCGAGAAGTTTCTAAACAGCATTACAGCAGAGGGCTTTTTACCCATGCATAATTAATATAAAAAACACGCTACCAGATACGTTACTGTCATTTCGGGCCAAATTGATTTTCGACTGAACTTTATTAAGGCCGAATAGGTCCTTCCTAGTTTACACATTGTGTTCTTTCTCAGAGTGTTTTCGCATGACGTGACGGCAGCTAAATTGGGTTCCTAAACGATAAACAGTCGGCCATATTGGTGTTTTAAATTAGTCGTGTGGGAGCTGAACTCTTTTTAATTGCAATTTTTTTTTCTTATTTGCTTCAACGGAAAAAAACAAGATAGCTAGGTACGTAGGTGAAGGGGTTCTTTATGTTGATTTCACTTCGTGGATAAAATTCGAAAAATCTCTTTTCAAATGCTCTTTAACATTGTGTTATTGTTGCCACTAAGTTAGCCAAATTTACATGTAGACAAGGGTCATCAATTATTGTACAAGGGTTCACTGAACAAAAACCACAACAATGAAAATTAACTGCTTCACTGTTTTTTTAAGAAACAAGGGGCTCACTGAACAAAAACCACAACGACGAAAATGAACTGCTTCACTGTTTTTTTTTTAAGAATTTGTTTTTTAGTGCAGTGGATCAAAGTTGCGGTAAGCTCCCGTCGGCTATTAATTATGTACCAAATTCCATATTTCAACTTTTTAATTTTGCCCTCACAATCTTTAAAATTCGAATCCGAGTACCTCTAGTTGTGACCAAGACTATGGTCTTGCGGTCTCTATTGTCAGTTCTCCCTCCCCAACTCCCTCCGTTGCTTCTTACTTGACTCAATATCCGTGATTGTGAGTGTAGCCTTCAATTGCCCAGGCATGACTAAGGCTTCACCTGGATAGATCACAAAGATTGCAATTATCAAAGGACACGGACATAGTGTTATGTTTTCCTGCATTTTGAGTCTTGCCAGTTTAAACAAGGGGTCTGCTTCTTCGGGTAAATTTGAATGTTCTCCGTTCAGTTTTCCTTTCGTAGCCAATGTAGCCTTTCGTAGCCGTAGTCCTAAGGGAGATCTATTGTCTTCGCCATTGTTTTCTTTATCCATGGATTGTAAGCATAATGAAGTATTCGATATGGGGCTGTGCTGAAATCTTTCCGATATCTTTCAAGTATGGGTCTCATCACCTGACTTCAAATGTTCCTTGAAAAACTTTCTCTTATGGACTACCTGATCACACAACGAACCTCTATCTTCGAACAAACTAACACTAAAAGAAAGTAAACTGTCGACTCTGTTTTTTATTTGTAAAACTTGCTGTGCTTGCTGCGACTCGAACGCAGAAATGTTCATCCTCTGTTGAAAACGGATGAATTTTATGTCAGTCAAACTACAGTTTACTTAAGGAAACATATTTCTATATATTTAAACAACGCCGATTGATTAGTTTAGTTATGAGAACATAAATACAATTTGTTTACACGTTGGCGAAATTACTTTCAATTAAGATCGACCTAATCCGATGCTAATTACATCAAAAGTAATTCTGTGCGCTCGTGCAACCGTACCTATGACAAAGTAAGGTTGTGCTTTTCCGATTTGAAGATCTCGATATTCAAAGACAAACCTAACGAGTTATTTCTGTTATTCGATGTAATGTGATCGTGTTGTGGGTTGATATTAAGGAAACAATATGTTTGGAAGGGCAGCTGCTTACAGGGTTAGCAAATATTCGTGGAATTTTAGCAGGCCGCATTTCTGGGGGTCTCTTGTGTGGAATTTTACGGCATGAAAGCCGGGTAGAGTCTGAAGAAAAAGCAATCCAATTTCTACTGATTGCTGAGCAAATTGCCCTTGTTTAGAAAGAAGATAAATTCATTAACAAAGCGAGAATGTACAAAAGGAAATTTAAACATTTCTTTGCGTCGCAGTAAACAGATTTACAGGTCGAGCCATTATAGTTAGGAATTTTATGAATGCATATAGTATTCCAAAATATCATAAGCCGTGTAACGACGATTGAAACAAAATCGCCATTGTAGTATCCATTCCTCCGCACGCAGTGCGAACCTACATTGTAATAAACATGTTCTATCCAACACTGACGATAGTACATTTGGCGACGAGGACCGCGGATTAGAAAGAAACGTCGAAGAGAACTTGCGAAGAGACCACGTGCTCGATACGAAATCATG